TGCCGACTTCAGTGATCACAAATGGATGCAAGTCTATGTGTGGCGCCATTGCTACTGTACTAGTTGGAGTGCCTCACCGACTGTGTATTTTGAATATTGAGACAAATGCGACAACGTTAGTTCGTAATAGAGAGTTTGTCTGCAAATAGCGCATTCACTCACTTAGAGAAAGCACGTATATCAACTGAGGAGTTTGAGAGTCGTTGGGAGCATTTGATTACTGAGCATGGTTTGTCTGCAAATAAGTGGTTGCTGAATTTGTATGCTGACAAATTACTTTGGGCAGAGGCATACTTGAAGGATATTTATTTCGATGGACTCCAATCAACCTCGAGATGTGAGTCATGTAACCATTGGATAAATGGGTATGTGGGAACACAATACAGCTTGCAACGTTTTGTTTAAGGCATTGATGAAGCACTGGAGGGGATGTGTTTCACGGAGGTGCATGATGATTATTCTTCTAGACACACGAGGTTAGTCTGCAAGCATGCCTTCGCACATGGGAAATGCAAGTTGAAAGTATCTACACACATTGTACATTTGCTATCTTCAAGTCTGAACTAGAGGACAAGGCTTCTTATGTGTTAGCGGAGACAAGAACTGAAGCAGATGGGACAGAGATATTCATTCTGGAGAACTGCATGAAACCGAATTGGATAAGGAGGTTAACATTTACTATGACCAATCAGCGTCTAAAATGTGAGTGTGCATTATTTTAATCCAAGGGGTTTCCATGCATAAATATGCTTACAGTCATAAAAAAGGGATTTAGAGCACTACCCTTCACGTGGTTCGAGCTTCGATGGACCCAAAATGCAAAGACATTATCTCGTAATCCTATGGAGGTGATGTGACAGAGAGTCGGTCAACTAATAAGACATGGGGATTGTCACTAAAGTGTAAGCGTTTGTGTGACATCGCATGTGATAATGAAGCTTCTTTTATTCATGTCTCCTTGGCGTTGGATAACCTTACTCAATGGGCAATTGAGTTCTCGAGTGATATAATGGATACCACGGCACCTACAAAATCCTCCAGCACCCCTTCCAAGTGTGAAAGGCCCAAAAATTGGGAAGACCAAGGAAACATTCAAGCCATCACAAAGTGCATCGGGAAAAAGCATAATAAAGTGTTCGAAAATGTGGGAAATATGGTCATTTTCACCCTAAATGTCCGAAAAAAAGCCCCAAAAAAGAGCATAAATTTCTTGTACATTTTTTAGGAGTTTATTTTTTAAACTATGATTGTAGTGTTTTATTTTTGGATCTATGTTTTTTTAAATTATCTTCATAATAAAAGCATGTGTTATTTGGTTGTTGGAATTTTCTGGAACAGAGTAAACGGTAGACCTGATAGATGACCAAGTCGACCAGCCCACTATAGGTCGACCATTTTATTGAATAGGCCGACCACGTCCTTGTTCGGCTGGCCTAACCAAATATTATCTAAAAATCCGTCGAAACCCTATCCTCCTATCCCCTACACTCCACTTTTCAGCATCCTCCTCCACTCATTTTCTACCTTCACCTCTTTCTTCTTTTATCTCATTTCCCTTCTTCTTCTTCCACCCAAAAAACCTTAGAAGAAGCACCAAATCCTCCATTTGACTTGATTCTCCGCTGCTAATTAGAAGGATAAGGTGTGTTTCTCTTCTCTTCCTGTCATTTGGGTTAGTTTTTTGTTCGTTCATGGTAGATTAGATTGGTTTTACCAAACCCCTAAATCTGCAAAACTCAATTTTGGTTTGATGTTCGCCAAAATCGGTCGACCTCCTCCTGTCAGTGTTCGACCGAATCTGTTTTCAATCGGATGATGATTCATTACCATTTGATTTGAAGTCCTAAAAATATGGGTTTCTCATCAAAATAGGTCGACCTTCTTCATCCATGGTAGGCCGATATTGTTTTTTTTTCTCGTCAAATGATTTAAATCTATAAAATTTGCTGATTTATGCAGAAGGTGTGGTGTTCTTCATATTCTGTTTGCAGAATTAGGTCGACCTTGTTCCAAATGAGATCGACATATTTTGTTTTGTTTCGTTAATGTTACCACAATGGACTACAAGGTTGTGGTTTTTGCTTTATGCTGCGAACAAAGGTCGTTTGGTTGAAGTCGACCTAATAATATTTGATTTATGCTCTATTATATCGATTTTTGCAGGATTCGTCAAGATGTGTTTGATATTTGCTTCTACTTGGAAAAATAGGTCGACCTATAATGTTTGGTTCCATGATATTAGCAAATTGGACTAAGAACTGTTTGGTTTTTGCTTGTGCTTGCAAACAAAGGTCGACCTAGTTTGGTTGAGTTCGACCTATTGATGTTCTGTTTTGTCTATGCATGCAGTGTATAGGTCGACCTGTTTAGGGACAGGTCAACTGAGTCTGGTTGGTTTCGTCATTTGGCTAACGTGAATTGTCGTTTCTTTGATCTCAGGATGTTTCAAGGAAAAAAAAATAAAAGAAAGTCAGAAAAAGCGGTTGCCTCAAGTTCTGAATGGGAAGAGTTCAACCCTATTATGTTCCAGACTAAGGAGGAAAGTGACAAATATGAAGAGAGGAGAATGCACAACCATAGGGTGGCTCCTGGAAGGCCATTGACGAACAATGTGTATTCTCATTTCAAAGATTACGAGTTCCTTGCACAGTTTGTGGAGCAAGATTGGTTGAAGGTGATATTTCTCAATGTACCATACTACCCAAAAATGGTACAGTACTTCTACAACAACATCGTCTATCAACATAATGCAAATGTATCGATTCATGCTTTTAAAGGCTATGTGAATAGGGTAGAGATGCGTATGAATCACCAAGAATGTGCTGGAAGAAGTACTGGAGACTCATTTCTTGCAATGCTTGGAATGAAACTCATTTCTCGAGAATCGGGCAAATTCAGACTGTATGTGATCTTGCTGAAGAGGAAGATGTTCAGGATCGCAGTAGGCCAATGATTCTCCAGTTGACAGTTCATGCCAGAGTTCTTCACTGCATGCTCTCCTACAACATTCTGCCAAAGGGTGGACATCGGGAGGCAGTCACCTACTTCGACATGGAGATCCTCACCAACCTACTTTCAAATGAGAAGGTGAACTTGGCATACTTGATCTTTAAACACATGCGTGCCATTGCGGAGAGTTCAACCAGGAATCTTCCCTATGGGATGATCCTGACTTTGCCATTTGGGAATTTTGGTGTGGATTTAAGTGGTGAGATTGGCTTAAGAATCACAAGGCAGGAGTTCTATACAGTTACATCTCTGAAAAAGATGGGATTTGACCTGCATAATGGTGAGTATGTCCGAGCATACAATCCTCATGTAGTCCATGATGATGATGATGATGATGATGATGATGATGATGATGATGATGAGCCTCGAGACGAGCCTATGGCGTAGCCACAGAGTTCAACTCCACCAGTCACCTTAGAGAGTATATGGGAGAGTATGGATGGCATGTACGACTACATGGGGTAGATGTCCACCCGGATGACTGGCATGTACGACTACATGGGGCAGATGACCACCCAGATGAGCACACTGTAGGTGACTAACAGAGTTAAGAGATTAGTTCCCATCTTTCAGTGTAAGATACATGCATCCCACCACATCTGACTACCATAATGCTAGCACCACCAATGAGGAAAATGCGGATGAGTGAGAGAGGGTAGAGGTGTAGGAACTCAACGATTTTAGATTGTGTGTTTTTTTTTGTTAATTCTTACAGACGATTGTGGATTGATATTATGACGTGGTTTTCGATTTTAGGTATGAGTGAACAATTATGAGGTGTGTTTTATTGTATTTCTTGTTAGTGTGTTAAGTTGTTATGCTATGAAGTTATGAGTCCTTGCTATCATGAGTTAGAACTGATTCTGTTGGTTTCAAACCTAATTTGTACGAGCAAACGAACCACCTACATCGACATACATAAGCAAAAAAGATGAAGGTCATACGCTGATTTTCTAGTATTCGGTCGACCTCTTACTATATTCGGTCGACCTCAAAACCAACACTCCTGATCTTCATTTTACGTCAAAGGGGATGGATAAATGTATAGAACACTTTACGCTTCTATCTGGTCGACATCTTTCTTTAAATGGTCGACCATTTTGGTAATGAATGTCATGAAGTGATCGACCTAATTACCTTTACGGTCCACCATTTTGCTTCTGACCCTAATAAAAAGGGCGACCGATGTTTTATTGTGGTCAACCGGTAATGTCTCAACTTAACTTAAAACGGTCGACCACTACATTTAAAGGTCGTCCGTGATAAGTCATCAAAGTGCACACATTAGTGTATTCGGTTGACCTCAGTTAGCTATAGATCGACCGAAAAGTGCAAGTTACGGTGACTTGCAATGCATCATAGGCGCACCCAAAGACTTGTTAAGAAAATAAATTTAAAAATATATAGGGGACTAGTTACGAAATTGAAAAGAAAAGCAGGGGAGAGGTTGTGGTCTGTGGACTTGTGGGGGAGAACAAATTTTAAGCAAAATAAAAATAGGTTGGGATTGAGCCTTGAAAATCTCTATTAGTTCTAGTAATTTAAATATGCCAGACCACTGCGCCACAATAGTTCTATGTCATTCATTTCAACCTAAATTTATAAAGTAAGAACGGGCCATGGCCACCCTACCTACAAGTTGCCTCTGTCCCTCGGTACAGAGTGGTACCAGGTGGTACTAGGATGGTAACGAGGGTGGTATAAAAAAAATTCTCAAAATATATTAAATATAAATATCATTTTGTAGATTACAATGAACTCATTTCATCTGTAGAAATTTTTATGAGTGATAGTTTAGTTCAATTTGTAGGCAACAATGAGATATAACAATCACTCATTTTAAGTGATAAGTATCACATAACAAAAACAACTCATACATTATAATGCAAGAAAAAAAAATAATTTTAAACAATACAAGTATAATAACAATCTTACGAAAAATATCACAACTTTCTCGGTCTAATTTTTAATGCAAGAATTCCCCCTCACCAGTAACACATGTTATCTAGATTACCCAAACTTGGACATTTGCTAGCCTCTATCCTGGTCACCAACCCAACAAAAAGTCAAAGCAGTGAAATACACCCTGCTGAGCTTGAGCTCAACAGTCAACAAAGATTATTATCAAATATTTTTGGAGCAGACTTATGTACGTGTACCTTGTTGGTTGAACTAGCTGAGACCCATGTCATTGTTAGCTTACTGGTATGTAACCAACCAACTACGTAACTACCTACGTGTGCCCCTGGCCTCCAGACTTCCAGAAAACTTGGACATGTAGCCTTTTTCCCTAACCAACACCACCAATGTTTGTTTTATGGGTAGAGCAGATGAACTAATCATCACACACACAATCTCACAACTTCTCTTCTCGACCATACAAATTCCACTGGCTATATAAACCCTCCACCTCTTAAACCTTTTCATCCATCACTTGCACACCAACAAAACAACAAAAACCTTCTCCATAAACATAGCTAGATACCTGGCCACCAAATCAAATCAAGACATGGCTTCTTCTTCGAAGTTCTTCGTCGTTGCTCTCGTCCTCGCCGTCACATTCTGCAACATGGAAAATGGAATGGCGGCCCGACAGCTCCTTCAAATGCCCACCATCCCATCTCTGCCTCAGCCAACTCTTCCGTCCGGAGGAGGATTGCCACCGCTCCCCAGCGCCGGCGCCTTGCCCACCCTGCCACAACCAACTCTGCCGTCCGGCGGACTGCCACCGCTACCCAGCGCCGGCGCGATTCCGACCATGCCCACTATTCCTTCCATCCCGAAAGTTTCTCTGCCGCCACTGCCTAGCGGTTTGCCAACCATGCCTTCCATCCCCGGCCTTACCCCGGCGGGCCCCGGCAACTGAATGAACTAGTACACCAAGTTGGTGGATATCATTGTCTTCGGTGTTTGATGATATGTTGTTATTTATATCTTGAGATTGCGTGTGTAGAGGGCTCATTGTTTGTATTCAGATTGTTATTTGAGTTTTCTTGGATTGTATATTTGTTTCTACGTACTATTGTATGCAATCATCACTCCGTTTTCAGTTACTTTTTGAGTTTGTATCACTTCCTTTATGTTTCGTGTTTATGTGATTTCTATTGGATTTTTCCCATTTTTGGATAAAGCCATAAGAGCTGATAAATGTCGACCCAACCAACACTAAATATAGGTAGCACAACATGATCTGACCCAAAAGGCTGAATTATATGAAAAGACTTGATCGATCTTCATCCCATTAGTATTCATCAATGTAGTTAAAATCGTGTTTTAAAACTTAAACTAATATAGTTAAAAACGCGTTTTAAGATATAAAAACTTACAATTTACGTTTTTATATCACCAAAATGCTTCTACGCAGAAACACACTTTTGAATACATTGGTATTCATAATAATTCGACCTATAATAATTTGACGTTCGTACTGTTTCATGACGGTATTTATTGATTTATATAACTTGTAAAAAAATATTTAAGGTGTGTTTGGATCGGTTTCTTTGAAAATGGATATGAAAGATAAATAATAGATCAATTCGAACCCATCTACATAGATAACTATTAGTAAAATTAATTTGATTTGTCAGCACATTTAAATGATAATTGATGTCAACAAAATCGTTGGGGATTAAAACTCCTAGTCCTTCCATGGGCCACACGACGAGAAGTCGTATCAATGGAGCTAATTTCATCGTCATCGATGTGACTGCCAAGCTTGTGGTGGTACCTAATCCAATCATAAAGATCTATGTTAAGTAATTCTAGCCGACTGGTGTGAATTCATATCTTGTCTATTCGGATAGTACCATAGTTATGAAATTCCTCGAGTTCTATGCGAATCAAGATTGAGAAAATGAAATTTTCCAATCATTGACTCAAATCCATTGTCAAACCTCACTGAGCCAAATATGGAGGTACTTATGGCTGAACAGCTCAATGTGTGTCTTCTGGGCCCATTCCATAGCTCTGACATACCAACAGGCCTCTAGTTCCTCTTAAAAGGGTTACCCTCAACATCCTAAAGTACATAAAGAGTTTTTTTCCTTGCCCTCCTAGATGAGAGACAAGTGCTTACTTAGGGAAACTCTTCCCAGTGCTATAGTCAGCCAGGTATCAAAGAATTCAGTCCACCAACTAGATAGAATGGTAGTAGCCCAAGCGGAGAACTCAATTGCTTAGGTACTTCCTAAACTAAACTTCCTTGGGAAAGAAGAAGCTCAAGATGGGTAGAAGAATCAGCTCTTAGCAAGAATGGGATTGATGCATCGAATGCCTTTTTTGAAAGCATATTTCCTTCCTCAACGCTTAGGTCTAGTAAATAAGAAGAAAGAAGATTCAAGTCTCCATTTCCGTATATTGATCAGGAAATATATCTACAATTACATAAGAAGAATTCTGGAAATCGACTAAAATCTTTGTGGTTACTATAACAAATTGATCCACCAACACGGATGGCACTCTAAAAGCGAGACCAAAATCATCTAGTAAATTATCTTGATTTTCTGTGCTTAGCTTCATGGGTGGGAAGTATGTAGTTGGTAGATCACGGGACCACCGTCCCTCTCCTTTCAATCGAGCAACTTTTTCCAATGCTGTTGTCAACATCTAGCTTCAATAATTTCATAGCTACTTATTACAAACTCCCCTTAAAAAAGGTGCATGGAACATTTTATTAACCAAAACTATAGTCAAGTCACTCCTTCATTGAGTTTCAAACATGTCAAACTTTCCATCCATTATCAATAGATCATCCAGTAGAGATGCTAAATTCGTTGAGAATGTTATTCGGGATCAAATAAAACCCCGAGGGAGTTGACTCGATCCACTTCCTAGCAATATACGAAACCCTAGGTTGAATAGAGCACCTACCCATCCACCAATCCGTCCTTCCGGGTCATTCCTGAGGGAGTCTATGATAGAAACCCATCCACCAGAACAGCTGGCCAAGTTGAGGCAAACCGGGTCAGTAGCAGAGTACAGGACGGAGTTCCTCAAGTTGGGCAACCAGTGCAAGGGAGTTCACGAGGAGACACTAGTGGGGCTCTATATGGCCTGTTTGAAACCGAAGATCGCTGCGCCAATCCGGTTCTTCGAGCCTGACTCCTTGAGAACTGCTTTTTTCCTTGCAGGTTACAAAGAAGAGGAGCTCACTAGTTGGGGGGGGACCATAGGCCGTTACCAGAAGCCAAGTGGAGGAGGCATTAGCAGCACGGCGGGACAAGGTGGAGGAAGCGCATCGGTGGAAGGGAGCTCGGGAGGCGGCGCGGTGGCGACAATAGCCCGAGCAAGACCGAGAGCACCTCCTAAGGGTTTTGTCAAGCTGTCACCGGCGGAGATAGAGCAGAAGAGGAGGGAGGAGAAGTGTTTCAACTGCGATGGGCGCTTCACGGTGGGTCACCAGTGCCCGAGGCCAGACCTGATGATGCTCATGGGACGTTGGGAAGATGAAGCAGAGGATGACGCAGCGGATGGCGGGAACAAAAAGGGCGAGACCATGTGAGCTGGAGCCAACCTTGAGGTCAAGGTTGATTCCAAGAAGGCGGGGATGATAGAACCTGCATTTTTACTATTTGGACATTGTTGGATTGAATTGTCGGTTTATGCTTCTTATTACTATTTTGGAAATTAGAGGGATTAGTTGGGGAAATGGAATAAGTTGCGTAGCATTAGAGAACTATCTATTTTATATAAATATTATTGTAAGTGGGATTAAGCCACCAAGCATGATTAAACCTAAAAGCAGTTTACCCTAATCCCTCTTCTTCCCTTCTCCCAGCCGAAACCTTCTTCTTCTTTTCCATAGCTGCTGCCACAACTTTCTTCCTTCCTTCTTCCACCATTTCTCAACTCCCTTTCCCAGTTCCTTCACCCTAAAGCACAGGTGATCACCAACTCGGTGCCCACCATCCCTATCCTATTCACGCTCAATCGATAGACGCCCAACTCGGGTTTTTATCAGTCTGTCTCCTAACGGTATGATAGTGAATCGATTAAGCGGGAATAGTACTCAACATTGTTCCATTTGACGGAACTAGGAGGATTCGAACCCAAGAGAGCTCCAACCTTGTAAATAGCTAGGTTAGTGGTTAGTCTAGGTTAGTTAGTTTAATTCTATCAATCACTATCCTAGATTGGCTAGATAACGGACCCTAAAACTAAAGTAGGGTAAGCCTAGATCCGTGTGGTACGATAAATTCTTATTGCTTGCTTGCCCTATGCTACACCCGGCGGTGGTTATACTTGGCCGTCAATTGGGATGTTGTAGTCAGAACGAGTCAAGTTTTTGGCGCCGCTGTACGGGAACCATTCTAGGTTTGTGTTTTGTGTTTTTGACCCACTCTTCTCTTAGATGGGTGGTTTGTGTTTGTTGGATTTTGTTTATATGTTTTTGTTTATGTAGGTCGAATCATGGATCCCAATGGCTTCTACAACATGTGGGGGTATCCACAACCACCCGAATGGGGGTACCCCGGAGCTTCATAGAGTAACCAAGAAGGTGGAAGCCAAGGAACCGGGTTCTATGATCAACCTCCCTTCCAAAAAGAACAGGCATACCATTGGGGATTTCAAGAAGCTCCCCCGTATGAAGAAAACTTCCCTCCTCAAGTCGAGGAGAAATCCAAGTTGGAGTTGGCAATGGAAGCTTTCATGAGACAATCTTCAAGACCATGTGCCACTCCACAACCGGAGCCAAAGAGCCAATTGAAGCTCATGGTGGAGCGGTTTGTTCGAGGGACCGATGAAGGGTGCTCGAACTTGGATCTCCCACAACCCAAAGAGAAATCCAAGTTTGATCTTACCATGGAGAAATCCAAGTTTGATCTTACCCATGGCATCAATGAATCTTGCCATATACTATGGACGGCTATATCAGAGAAGTGACAGTCTTAGACACATATCTTTCACTTTCTCGAGGGGGACATGGCAATCACACTAAGAGATTCCTCCATCATCACCTAGTTTCGACCACTAGAGAGGCCACCATTAGTAACTCGGTTATTCTAGAAGGAGGTTGAGGGTCATTGAACATGGAACGTGAGCTGCCTTGACCCTCCTCTTCTCACTCATGGAATGGTATTCACCAAACGATCCTCTTAGAAATCTGCTCTTGCTTCCTCCCGAGACGTATCATAGACCCGTAGGGGCCACCTAAGTTACATTCCTAATCATTATTAGAGTATACTGGAGATTCTAAAATTCCTCTAAAGAACCCTTTGACTCCCTTAGTCAAACCTTTAGCCTGATACCCTTTTCCCTTCCTTTAAAAACAGAAACCTTGAAAAACTCAGATCATCACTCCAGTATTCCTTGGAGACCAAGAAACAGAGGACTGTCGGCTTTGATACCAAAATGAAACAACTCGAACTTTTTCAAAAACCAAACCATAACTCAAACCAAAAACCGGTTACTCTGGAGCAACCCAAACCGCATTTTAAAATAAACAAACTGACATTATTTAAGAATTTTTAACGAAAAGCCCCAACACTTGGGCGAAATCTCAATCTCAAACACTTAAAACAACTTAACACAGAATCTTTGAACCTTGAATCTACAGTACATATACTCATATTCATGAACAAAATAGTTAAACTAAATCTAGCTCTAACTCCTTGTTGTTCTCCCTGAGGTCTAGTCCATGCTGGTGCGGCAACTTGCCTCGCACTGCCTCTTCTCGGGATCCACCTTTGCTAACCCTTCCTCAACCTGGTGAGTGAAAATGGGTCAGTCTCGTCGTTACTTCCTAAGGTATTTGCCCTAAGCAAACTCCTTACTAAAACATGTTATTAGCGTTTGCTTTCCTTAGATGAAAGCCGTTCTCGCTTCCATCCTTAATACTTATTTCAACACCACTAATAGAAGATATTTACTCCTATATTATCTTATAGAAGTTCTCAACTTCTATCCGTAATATTTTAGTCCTCGATAGCTTATAGAAGTTCTGTACTTCTATCTTAACTTATATACTTATTACTAGGGTTCACCGCGTTACGTATCGACGTCCGGTGTCCCTATCCTCAAGGCAATGGTACTGCGTTACGTATCGTCGTCCAGTCCATGCCCGGTCAACTACTGCGTTACGTATCGCCGTCCAGTAGTGACCCGACTACCGCGTCCAGTAGTGGCCCAACCGCCCGGGGGTTCAT